AACTACTATAGTATATTGGGGTTTGTATGGGGAATAATGGAAAAGAAAATGGAAACTACTTTAGTATATTGGGGTTTCTATCTTTTCGGTGAGATGACAGCTTCAGACTCGGCTAGCCGCAATTTCTTTTTTGCCTCGCCTGATGATTTTTGTCGGTAGAACCATTTCTTTGAGGTGCAACGAGAGCTGGCATTTGCAGCCCATCTGTGTGACTGGGTTGCCGTTAAGGAATTTAATCTAAGTTATTATAAAAGGGAACCATGTGAATTACTACTATATGTACCCAGAATACAGTGCCCTAAACCCTACCTACATAACCCCTATATCCCCATAACTCCCCTATAGCCCCAAAGACGCACTCTTAAAACATCATTTAACCATCAAAAAACCTTATATAACCACTATATAACCCCGTTTAACTCCAAGAAGCCCAGAACAACCCCTTATTTAATACTTAAAAAACCTTATATAACCGCTACATAACCCAAATAACCATCATATAGCCCCTATGTAGCCGAGTGCCTTAACAACAAGCCAGGTGAAGCTGCTGTCCTGCAGATCGCTGACACGGACTGTCCAGCCAACTTGGCCAGCCACATTCCTCCACCTAGGAATAATAATCGTATTAGTCAGGGAAATAGTAAATACTGGTAGCAAATAGTAGACAGTAAATAGTCAGTCGTAAGAGTAATAGTAATAAGAATACTAATACTACTGGCAATCGTAATAGTACTAGTAAATGCTAAATTGCACAGGACCTGGGCCTGCAGCACGCGCTTACGAGAATGAAAAAGGTTGCAGCCCCAAGTTCTCTTCATAGGGGTGGTTGTCAAAATTATGGTCCCTTTTTGGATCCCTATTATAATACGGCCCCTACTATTTAGGGTACCCAAAAAGGGACCATAATTTTGACAACAACCCATAGACTCGACACCGCGTTTTTGCGAGTGCGGAGCTGTCAGGGGCTGCAGCTTTCCAGAAACTGACTGGTGCTTAAGGGAGAGCGCGGGAGTGGAACCCTACAATAATCCCTATAAAATCCCCATATAGACCCCTAGAATGGTACTTATATTCACTCTGTGCTAATTTCAATCATATTAAAATTGTCAAATCCTCCATTATTTCTTATGAAATCATAAAGATAAATATTATACTGTATTGAGTCAGTCTTGTCATAACAGGTGCGTTTATGTTGATGTTTTCTTCTCCTGAAATCTGTCGTATGACCAACATAACAATCTTTGATATTTATGTCTTTACATACAATCTTGTAAAATGTTGTTTTATTATAATCATTTGATTTTTTAGGCATAAAGGCTTATTATGCATTATACGCAAATATCGTTTTAAATGTCTTCATCATCAGAAATCATTATCCTATGGGTAGAGTTTTTCATAAGGACTTCGTTCATGTCGCTTTTTGTTAGATTACAGTATAAAAAACTATACGGTTCGCTTGTCGCTTCATTGTAAATCTCTAATAGCAACTTTTTTTGCTTCTGCTACATTTTTAGCATCCGCCAACATCTTTTTATTTATTAACATCGCCGATAATTCCTCGACCATCGTTTCTATCTCTTTATACTTTCTCATCTCGAAGAAAAATGACTGTCTTGAATTAACACGAATAATTCTTTTCATAATGCCCAATATGCTTGAACACTTGTAATCACCGCTAAAGCATTATGTCTCCCGCGAACATATAACTGATTTAACAAACACTTTTCATTATCTGCCATATCATCAAGAACAAGCAAACAGGAATGTAAAGTTTTATGGTCATTTTTCTTCTGGTATTCTATAACCTTATGGTGTCTTTCTATATTTGTTTGATAATTTTTTGTAAATCCGATGCGATACATTCTTCAAACAAGCACTGCTCTTTTTCAATATCTACTTTCATTTCGTCTTTAACATATTTCTTTACAGGTGTCCATATACTATCCACATTTATTGAGGGGCTAAAACATATATACGAGCAAAGCAATTTCCATAGATATCCAAGATTAACGATTGTAATAGAATACTTTTTCCAGAGCCCGATGGTGCTGACATAATCATAGACGCTGGTAGTTTAGGTGCTACTTCATATTTAGACTGTTTAAAATCATATTCTTT